AAGCCAAGCAGGTAAGCAGTTTGTCTACAGTCCTCAGTAAGCAGCAGAGAAGGCATCAGAATAAAAAGCCAACAAGTGTTCAGAGTTATACAAAGAGTTTTTCTGGTCCCTTGACTCCCTCTCAACTCTGAACTGGAATGGCCATCTCTAGTGGTGAGAATGTCATTCAGATCCCATGCTCAAGTTGCTTCTTGGCTGCAATGATAGGCTAAGGTGCCAAGAGAGTTAGGGACATGCTGCATTAGGATGTAAAGTGCTTAGATATGTGCTTGAGGATAGTGACAACTATGGCAGTACTCGGTAAAAGGACCAAACAAAATCCAACCCACAAAATCTGCTCTGAGTGCTGCAGGCAGATCAGGATTCAGGATCAAGGTGCTAGATTACGTTTCTCAGTGCACATTTAAATTATTAGTCCACTTTTCTTTCTATAGTGGTTTTCAAGATTTAAGCACTAAGACCACTTCATATATTATACAGTGGCAGCTCTGATTCATCAGAAATTGGATATCTAACAACAATATACAGCCAGCCCTGGTTTTCAACTAATGCATTTAATGATATATAGTTACAAATATTTGTTTACAATATTCATATGCCTTTACTGCTTAACATCTTCAGCATAGAAGCACATTTTAATGCATATCTTTTTTTAAAAACAGCTGAAGTTAAATAGGTAAAATCCCACCCAGACATGGAAACTCACTGGGATGGCAATAGCAAATGAATCTTTGAATACTTCATTTACCTTGAAAACCCTATTAAGATTGTCATGAGTTGGAAAAGACTTGACAGCACGTAACACATCTATCTTGGCACAGAAATCAACAAGACCTTAAGCTGCTTAACTTTGGCTCAATCACACCTGTAACGTGTGACAGTGGCCCCAAGATTTTCAGTTACTCACAGAGAATCAGAAGGCCAAGTGTTCTCAAAGGAAGCCAGCTTAGCCTAGTTGAACAATATTCTAGAAGTTCAGCTAATTTTAGTTGAAATTCTGAGCACACAGATACACATGCTTCATTAGGACCAATACATTGTTTTGGAAAATGCACTCCAATGCTAAAATAAACTTAATTTCAAACAAAAATATAGAAAATTGCCTTACATTAAGAACACTGATTTTTCTTATTCCCGTAATGCCAAAAACTATCTGGGAAAGAATCTCCAGGGTTTCAGGACTTCCTATGTTCAGAGCATTGAGCTGGGATCCTACTGTACAAATAACTGTTTTGCTATGTCATTACAACAATGGAGTTTCGGATTAAAACTGTAATTTTAAAACATGTTTGAAATCACATTCTTTTCTCATGTTACTTCATATTCCATGTGGATTTTTTTTGTTATTGTGTTTAGAGAGAAGACAAAAGCCTTATTCAGGTGTTTTGCACCTGAATGCTAGAAGAGGCTAATGGGAACATACAACATTGTCCCACCCCCAGGTAGCAATGCGTGTACCGCCAGATGCCTGCAATGATTCTTGAACAAGGATCTCTTCAAGGATCAGTGAGGTTTCTCATTCCTGTAGAGGGAGCTACATATGCTTAGGACCTCTTCAGACCACTGCCCAGTATTACAGCATACACGTGCAATGCCATCAAGGGGCAGGCCTAACCTATTTACACCTTTAGCACTAACAGGTATCATGCCTGAAAAAGATTACCGTTCAACGTGTTCTCGCATCCCAACATGTGCTGAAATGCAATAGACCTGTGTAACTTACTCCTACTTCCACCACCATTTTTTTAAAATGGTGCCCACCATGCCAATGTGGATCAGACTGTGAATATTCATGGTGAATTTAAATCAATAATGTAAAGATAAAATACCATTCCACTGCTTTTGCTCTGCCTAGACATGGAGACCTATATGCATATGTGGTGGACATGTGAAATAAGAAAGAAAGAATGGGCACTGGATTTCAAAGAAATTAGAAAAATTATTGGATGAGATATTCAGATATCACCAATTACCACCCCCTCCTGAGTATAATTAAGAATGACCATCTGAAAAAAGATCAAAAACAGTTGTTACAGTAGCAAGATAAATTTTTTGCAAAGAATTGGAAAAGCGACAAACAAATTAATCTTGAAGACTGGTATAAAGAAATGTGGAGCTTAACAATTAATGATAAGTTAACATGTGAAATGAAAATCAATTAGGCCCAAGATAGAAAAATTGGAGTGTTTATAAATGAAGAGCCACCTCAGAATTTTAAAGATCAGACTAATGTCATTTTCGTGTCACCTGCAAAATACAATCTGATGTTCAGTAAGAATTGGAACAGAATTATTACTGCTAACTAAACAGAAACTTTGACAATTAATGCTGAGAGGAAAGGTGACAGGAAAATTAATGTGTGTTGTATATGTATATTTTTGGGGGGAGGGGGGAGAGAACAGTATCATCATTCAAATAAACAAGTCCTTTTTTCAGAACTGATTTTACAATGACTTTTTTTCTTTTCTGAAGCCATGGAAGGCATTGGGTTTGTTGATAAGAGTTACCTACTCAAGCAGCTGCTGTTAACCTACACAGTAGTAAATAATAATAATAAAGACTGTCAGCAGATCTTATTTAAGTAACTGGCAAGTATAAAGGAAATACCACCTGCTGCAGAGTTGATGAAGGAGCATAACCTAAGATTTACTCACAACATACAAAATAAATAGTTTGGGGAGATGACCAAAAATACTGAGGTATTAAAAAGGACGCAATGTTGGAACAATACAGATGGTATTGAAGAAAATAGCATTAAAGAAATAGGAGAAAAAAGCCAGACATTTTGAACATGCCTTCTGGTGGCCATTAAAGGGTTAATTTCTTAGGGATGCCTCTGTTTAACCCCCAAAGTCTGGCAGCAGAAACAGTGCTCAGAGTAAGAAAGACTCAACACTTTGATATTTGGGAACCGCCATATAATTAAAGTGATCTGATGAGGAAAAAGTAACCTCTTGGGCTAATGTGAGGATGGGAACTTAGCCATTTGCACTTACTTGAATGTTGCAATCATCAACAATTTCAGCAATACCAAAAATGCTCAGTTTAAATACACATTTTGTGAAAAAAATGTCTCTACATAAAAGGGATTTTTTTAAATAGATGAACAAATCAATGAGCAGACAGTCAGAATTAGTAAAAGCATGCAACACCAATGCAAACTGGAAATAGGAAGCTATCTGCCACAAAGCTGAAGGACGATACCGCAAGGGGGAAAGATGAGGTCCACTGCAAGATACAAAGCCCTTTCCAAACCACCAGTTTTCCTCCATATCCTGCAGTCGGGGAAGACAGACCTGAGAGGGATTAGGAGGTGCTTAAAGAGTCTCTCCAGCCCCATCCAATGGCTAAGACCCGCACCTCCTTAGACAGATGCTTCATTCCACGCAGCGTAACCTATGCCTGACGAAGGAGTGTGCTGACAGAAAGCTTAATTAAAGAGTGCATCAACAAGTGCAGTAGTCAATTTTGTTCGTGTTTCTTTGGAAGTTCATCTCCTTAAAATGTGCAAGCCTGGTGTTTTACCCAGGAGGTATTTGCTCCGAATTATACACTGTGGCAGGCTTACAGAAGCTGTTCCGCTTGGAGTAGAACAAGTCTTACATTGCCAGGATTCCTCACCACCATGTTTTGTTTTATTATAAGGATGTGCTACTCCTGTGTACTAGTATAATAGCATGCTATTAAAGCTGCTCTCCTTCACCCCTAGCAGGGAACATTATGCTCACAGCTGCTGGTAAACAACCTCCTGACTTCCCTTCCACACCCAGGCAGCTTCTATCTACATTCCCAATCTACTGCACCTTCTTCTCCCTGTTGCTGCTTCTACTACTACTACTAAGTACTCAGCCAAGGCTTCCTACCAGCAAAGGCAAAGCTTCCAGCAAAAGTTCAAGAAACGTGCCCTGGTTCTGGAGACGAAGAAGTGTCTCACTCCTATTTGTGCAAATCTTCAACTGTACAAGGATTTCCAAGATCAGGGCCACAGAAACCTGGTCCACCTGCCCTGGGACAGATCGGCTTCTCCTCCTTGTTCCTGGGTTCCCAAAGGCAGGCCCATCCGGCCCAGGGCAGGTGGCCCAGATTTGTCTCCGCAAGTACAGGAGACACGCCTGTCCACTGAGAGTAACGCTTAACGCCTGAAAATGGAGCCTGTCCATGTTACTTGGCCGCCATCCTCCACCCGCTGATCTGGAAAGGATTCCCAATGAGCTCAAGGAGATTTACTCGAAATTCGAGGCAGAAGGGAATGCCCGAGTCTAAGCAGCGCCGGGCCCGCAACACCAAGAGAGAGGCTGGGGACCGACTCGCCTTCAGTCCAAGGGGCGGCCACTCACTCACTCGGCTTTCCCTCGAGGGCAGCCGGCGTCCCGGTCTTTTCCTCCCCTCTTCTTTTTCAAGGCAAGCCCTTCGCGCGGGTTTGTTTGCGCCCGAGAAGCGCAGGCGGGACAATGGGAACCTACCTCAAAAAAATCCACCTGTGCCTCGTCAAAGACACACACACACACACACACCGAGGAGGTTCGCGCAAAGAGCCGCGAAACGCAAGACGCTCAACACAAGAGGACCCGCGTTTATTTCCGCCCCCCGTCAGGCGGCGGCTTGGGGTTGCCTCTATTTAAAAAAACCCAAACCTTCGAGGGGGGAGCCAAAGAGGAGCCTCCTCGGCCGCGGGGGCGAGAGAGGAGAGGGGAGTCCGCGCCGCCGCCGCCACCACCCCAATCCGCGGGGAAAGGAG